AAGGAAGACATTGGAGAAACTAGTAAATGTGCTGATATTGCATAATGCATTGTATCTTGGGTAGAAATATGAAATGTTGAGCCCAATGATGTATTTGTCGGATTGTGCCATGAATTTTGTGGTTGAATGAATTCACGCTTTCTATGTGTGTTTGTTTTATCCTTTGGTGTGGCTCTAAAATTTCATAAAGAAATGAAGTTGCAATCAAATGTTGAGTTGTTAAAAATATAAATACAGTGTATTGAGCTTTAAATAAAAATGTATTGAGCTTGGCTATTGAGCATAGCTTTAACTGTTGACAAATAATTTTTGGTGGATTATACTTTTTAAACAGTTTAAATTGAATTCGAAAGCTTTCGAATTTGAACAGTACAGATCGATCCAATGCTCACTAAGTTCATACGTCTCTAGTATGAATTCATATTTTAAATAATTTGTAAGTAGTATACGAGCTAAATGAGATCATTATCAATTCCGCAAATAAAATTTTTCAATGGAACTAAGGATATGATTTTTAATTTTGTTTATAAAATAAATTTGTTATTTTTTTTATATAAATAATTAAACACGCATCGGATGCTTCCTTAAATTTTAATAAGCACAATTTTTTTTTCATGGACATTTTTTTTTTTTTTTTCATTGCGTTCATTTTACATTAGAGAATCTAGTCACATAATGGCTACTTAATAAAATTTAAACATTTTACTTTTTTATTTTCAGATATTTTCAAATATTGTCTTGAAGAATAAAATATGAGAACATAAGTTGCGTTTGTAATTTTTAATGTAATTGTGTAATTTCATTGAAGGAAGAAAAATAAAATGATTTAGATTCAAGGATTTCTGTTTTTGTTTTTTTTGCTCAATATCTCTTTCATTTTAATTATATAACAACACGTATAAACAGTATAACAGTATAAAAGAATCTAGTATTCAATAGCGAAATGTTAAAACAAAATGTCAAAAGTATCATGTTTTTGTTGTAATGAGCCAATAAATAATTTAAAACCAAAAGTTCTTCAGTAATTTAATTTTAATATTCTCTTTTTATCTTGAATATATACGGAATCCTTAAAAGGAATTTTTATATTTTATTACTTATCTTTTAATTTGACGGTAAGTTAGAATTTAGAACTCTGAAAATTAGAAAATGAAGAAGCAACTGAATTAGAATATACAAGAGGCAGATTATCTTTTGGCATTGTAAAACAATAAACTACTCTCTTTTCTCTCTCGAAAAGAAAACATGTTTGTAGCAGACATCAAATTCAGAGTTGCCATAACATGGATTTATTTTTTAACCTAAATTTTGACCGATCTTAAGTTATTCTGATGTAAGAAATGAAAATGACCTTGATAGAAAAAAAAAATATATAAATTTATTCAGCAGACAGCAACATAATCAGGATTCAAATAACTTCTGTCGCCTGACAAATTGTTGTCATATACCGTTACTTATTTGTGTTATCCTCTAGCAATAAGAAATCTTATTTTCTATAATATACATATGACATACCATCTGCTAAAGTTTTTCACCAAAAATTCATATGAGTTTTTATAATATTCGAAAAGCAGTAGTGTTAAATTATTCAAAATTAACGAAACATGACGATGATAGCAAATAAAATAAAATTTGTTTTCGAAGAAACCAAAAATTTCGAATGAATAAAGTTTATGCTTTTTTCAAATTTAAGTTTCTTATGAAATTTCTTATGAAAATTAAAAGAGAATTTTTCACGAAAAAAATTCCCCGAGCATAAAAAAATTCTTCATGTTTTCTTAATAATTAATAATAAACAAATAAATAATTCGACGAACTAAGAGAAACAAACTTTTTCTGAGATTGAATGACATTGAATTGAATAAATAAATATTTTGATGTAAAAAACTTATTGTAATTAGCAAATATTTTAAAAATATTCTATGTAATCTCATTTGCGATTTAATAGATTACTATAAGTCTTGTTTTTAATTAGATTGTTTTGACCGCATGAGAATTTCTGAAATAATTAAGTAAATTTAATAAATAAATATGTTTATATTAAAATGAAAATTTAATGTGGTCAGCACATAACTGACCGCAAAACGTGTGTTGTCTAGTTTAACAAAAATGTTGCACAAGAATTTCTGTTTGATGAAAATGTTTCTTTTAAATTTAAAGGAGACTAATAAGCTTTCGGTTAACATACCTAGAAAAATGTAATTTTGGTTCATAGTAGAGTTTTGTGTTAATCGAATTCATTGAAAAGATTGTCAGTTAGTTTCGGTAACAACCAGAACTTAAATCAGGAAATTCCAAGACATTAGCTTCGTAGTTATGATAAAAAACGTAAAATTGACAAAAGTTCGGATTCCAAGCCCTGATCTGACAAATTATTGAAAAAATTACCGGTATATTGTTTTAAATTTAAATATTAAATTTATTGAGGAAATCGGTTGATTATTTTTCTTTATGTGCGTAAAAATATAAAATTGTTCCGGAAAATGGTCCATTTCCCAAGGCCTGATAAATTCCGAATGTTAATCAAATCATGAAATATAGTTAAAATAAACTAATATATAAAATTACAACAAAATCCCGACAAAGCTAAGAAATACGAATTCACACACTGTTTGATATACCGACAGCTGTTTAAAAATAATTTATTTACGCTTTCCCTACCTTCGAAAAGCATGTGATCTTCGAAAACTCAACATCCGAAATGATGCCTTCATATATAACCGTCCTTATTGTATACAATACGGTTGGCAAAAATAATCTACTTATAAGCACAAAAAATTAAAATTGAAAAATATTGTCTTAAAGAGAATGGATAATTGAGATTCACTCGTATTATTAAAGAGCGAACGTACAAATAAAGTGTACTAATACATGTACATTAAAGTTTTCCATAGTTTTATTAAACGATAATCTAATAGTGCTCATTTAATATTTTAAAAATTATCTTGCATTTTTGTTATTGCTATTGAAAAGGTTTGAAAAATCTCAATGTGATTTTAAATAAATTATGAAAATTTCACTTATTAGCATAATTGCCTTTTTTCAGAAATATTAATAAAAAGTATAATATGTAAGAAAAAGAAAGGATAAACCTTTATTCAAATCATTTCCTCCATTGTACTTATTTACTTAAGGAAGTACATTATAAAACAGGATTTCTATTCTCACAATAAAATTTGCATATTCCTTATATTTCATATACAATATTCAATAAAATCATTGAATATAAAATGCAAGTATAAAAAATTTTAATATATTCTCAATTTTAAATTAAATTTGCTTTTTTTTTGTTAATTTTTTAAACAAATTTTTCCATACACACTAAGACAAGTTTTTCAAAAGTTCCAATTCTCTTTAAAAATAAATTACCTAATTTTAAAATTTCCTTTTCCTTATACTTATACATTACAATCTCATTTTCTTTCATCAATTTATCATTAATTATTATAAAAAAAAATTTACATGAAAAATAATGATTTCGTATTAGTCTTTTGATATATACGAAAAAAACAAAAAAAAAGCAAAAAAATCATGATATCCTTTTTTTACTTTTTTAAAAGAATAAAATATTTTATAAAAGAAAAATATAAGAAAATCCTTTTAAAAACATATTATAGTCTCATCTATTTATATAAATATTGTACACATATACTACATATATATCATACATATATATATACATCTTTTTGGATATAAAATATAAAAGAACATTTTGTATATTTTAATTTTAAAGAGATATTGAATACGTCTACACTATTTTTACATAAATTCTCTGTATTAATATATATAGATATATTACATATACATACGTTTGCATTCATATATATATTACATATTACATGTCCAATATAAAATGTATGTATATATACATATGAAACAAAAATGAAGAAAAATAAAAATTCCCTACATGGTCGATACCTTTAAACTCGTATATATTATTATTACATTTATATAGATTCATGACTATCATATATTTCATTTATATATACACCTATTTAACTAAAAATATAAGATATTCACATACTATTAAAACGAAAAAATAAAAACAGTAAAAAGTTAGTATACTCAACTCAATTCTAATATACGTGTCATTGTTTTCAACTTTCTTATTTAAAAATTTACCATCTATGTATCATATATACCAATATATACCAAATATACTAATTTTCATATCAATATCGTTTATTATATATATGTATATTTATAGAATTTACAAAATAATATTATATAAAGTATGGAAGGACATAATAATATATTCATTATAATAAGATATATATATATATATATATATATATATATATATATATAATTATAATATCGGCAATAGTCACATTTGAATGTATGAATTTGTATATGTATATTTAAATACAATGTTATAATATTTCATTACGAATTAATACTTTTACAATGTATATTTTAAATTTTATATATATATATATATATATGCATGTATATATATACATATATATATACATATTAATATATATATATGGAAATTTTAAGATAATATGCATACATATACCATTATACACCTACACAAATTTACTATTTGTTTATTCAAAGAAAAAAAGGGAATTTATATTGCGACATTTCGTATATACATATACAAATATTACTGTTATTGCATATAATAGAGGGATGAAAGACAATTTTGAAAAAAGAAAGAAAGAAAATAGAAAATAAAAATAAGAATAATATTTAAAAAGATATATATTAAAATAGTGTTTAGATTGTTATGATATATTACATGATATATATATGATATATATACTTATATATCAATATAAGTAATATTGCGGCCAATTTAATAATAATATTTAATCAAAATAAAAATGCCGTAAGTATGTTTAAATGAATCCTTAAATTTTAATGTATAATAAAAGAAATTAATAAAGAATCACTAAATATCATACTGTCACTATATATACACATATATATATGTACATGTACATATGTGGATATTTATTTTTTTTTTGACATTTTCATGACATTTCACTTACCTACACAATTTTTATTTTCTTAATTTCATAAATTCCATATAAATAGCAGAGCAATAAAATTTAAATAATTTTTATTATTATTGTATTTTATAATATTTTTGTTTTTTTTTTTTTACAAATTCAGTCAATTTCTTATACATATGTTTTCCATTTTATTATCCTTTTGTTTTTTTTTTCTCAATTTTTTTTTTTCTTTAAAAAAAAACAAGAAATTTTTACAGACAATAGTTATTGCGTTTTATCCAAATATTTATATACTATGCTAATATATATTCTCTATATTTCCACTATATATATATATAATGTATATTCATACATAAATACAATATTTATATTGTATACTAATAAATAAACACACACATGTATACATACGTTTGTATGAACGGTGTTTTCTTTTTTGTTAAAAATGAAAATATTTTTTACTATAGAAATTTTACTATATTTGGTATATAGATAAAAATAAACACACATATATTTATATATATATATTTATAATATATATTAAATTTATTACATATTTATATTAAATATTTTTCTTTTTTAATTTTCACTTATAATATAATAAATATTATTTTAAAAATTTTAATTTACAAATTTTATTCACTTATGAATTTTTAATAAAATATTATAAATTTTTATAGATTTAAATATGGGAAATTTAATTTTAGTTACGGTTTTTCTTTAACATTTAATAACACATACAATATGTAATATTACAAACACACACATACATATATATTTATGTTATATATCATATATATATATATATTATATATATATATATCTATATATACACTTTCTGTAATAATATATTTCTTTTTTATACACTCTAGATATGCATAACAATTATATTTTATATAATATATATAATATATATATATCTATATAGTATTGTTATATATATCATTATATATTATTATTTATATTTTGTTATATAAATTTTTTTTATGAAAATTTTAAATTAAATAATTGTTTTTTTATATTTCCTTTATTTTTTATAAAATTTATTTTCAAATAATATTAAAATTTTTTTTTTATTTCAAATACGCCACATTTAATTTTCTTATATATATCGGAAATATTGAATTTTATTTTTTTTTTTCTTTTTATATAAATTTATTTAATAAATTTTGTTGAAATTTTAATTTGAAAATTTAATTTCTTTTTGAATAATATTTTTGTTTAATTTTACATATTTATTATGATATATATGTATATATACATACGTACATACATTATTTCATACTTATATAAATTATTTTTTTGTCTTCGTCTACACTTTTAAGGTTTACCACACTCTATACACATATGTACATACATTACAAGTATAAAACGTTATACGTATAATGTTTTTCTTTTATTGCAATTTTAAGAAAGGAAAAAAAATTAATTTTTATTTTTTTTTTTTATTAATTTTTAAGAAATTTATTAAATATTTTGTTATACGGGTAACAGTTTTCAATAATTAAATTTTTCATTATTTTCTTTTTACATAAAAAAAAAAATTTATAAATTTTAAATTTTTTTTTGTATTTTTTAGTTTCGCCGTCAAGATCCCTATCCTTTTTTAATATTTTTTTTTTTGTCTTTGGAAATTTTCTGTAAGAAATATGGTATAGAAATGAAATTAATTTTTTTTTTAATTTTCTTGCTGTCCTTAAAAATTCGTTATGATGTCGCGACCGCATAAAATTTTCTACTAAAATTATGAAATGAAAAGGATAGGTAAAAGGAATTGAATTTTAAGTTTTCTTTTTTTTTCGCTCTCTTTTATTTCTATTTTCTCTTTTAGCTTTGTTTTTTTTTTTTGAATACGTGTTGAGAGTATGAGACAAACACACAAAATGTATAATATAAAAAAGAAAATATTATTATTACCCCACTATTGTTGGGGTATTGATTGGGTAAATTTTAAGGATTTTTTAAATTATTCCAGAGAGAGAGAGAGAGAGAAAATTTATAATGCGCATGATGCATTGAAAATATAGCAATAATTTATATAGAAAATAATAATTATTTGAATATTTTAGAACCATAACCTATCTATCTTAAAATATCATATACCATAACCTATCTATAAAAATTAAAAAAATAATGAAAAATATGTACCTATATCATTTTATTTTGATTTAAAGGGGTAAAGAGTTAAATTAGGAAATTTACTCTTTATATAATAAAAAGCTTGTTTATATACGTACATATATTTTAGAAAAGAAGCTTTAATTTGAAATTACCTTTATAACGGAATGTAATATTTAAAAAAACAAAGACGTAGAAGACAAAAAGCATAATTGAAATACAAAATGTATATATATCCATAATCTATATATATATATGCTTGTAATATAGCCAAAAAGTGTCTCTTTCTTATTCACATCTCTATAACTATATATAAATGACATAATAAATTTAATTTAGTGTCTAAAAATGACAAATGTAATTTAGTTTCAAAATTTTATTATCATATAGGTGGCGTTGTCGGCACTCAAATCGGCTTACATCATATACAAGCTGGTTCGGAACTGTGGACAACAATAAGAAGAGTAACGTTCATTTCGTAACGCGGTAAAAGGAAAGCGAAATTGCTGATCTGTTGGCGTGAAAGGGATCTAAAACCTCTTCCGTTAGGCCAGAGCCGTTCTGTTGACTATCAATGTTTGCAATTAAATGAAAACTTGGCGTTCTCCTTGAAGAGAAATTGAATATTTGCTGGAAGGCTATTGAGGGATATCATCTCATCATGCGAAGCTGTTTCTCTCATCTTTATGAAGGAAGTTCTCCTTAGAGCTGCTTGTGTTAGATTTGAATCATGTTCGTGCTATTATTGACTTCTTTACAGGCCATTGACCGGTGAAATATCACGTAAACTAGTCAAATCGGATTCCGTTTTTGTGTAGATTCTGACTTGACGATGAGGAGACGGGCATACATATTCTGTTTGAATTTTCTGTGCCTCTTAACGCACATGATTTGGGCGGGGCTTCCTCAGGGTTGGAAAGGAATATCCCGGGCATTTACTTCGGACCATGATAGTACAAATGAAATATGGGAGCAATACAATACATCTTGACTGGCTGAGTAATTTATTATTAAATAATTAAAATTTTATAATCATCAAACACAACAATGAAGAGATAACTCCTGTCTTTAATTATCTATTAGTAATATATACAAGAAGTGTATATTTCCTAAAATGTCGCCATGTCAAATTTAATGCAACAGCAATATATCCCCTTGTTGTATGCAAAGTGATCAGTAAGAATATATTTGCTAGCTATAGAAAACAAATTTCTTTTTTATACATAATAATGTATTTAAAAGAAGAAACACCCTCTAAAATCTATATGAATCTAGTATCCTCTTAAAGAACCTATTAAAATTGGGTGATAAAGCTTTGTGATGCATTCAAATCTTAAACATCATATATTTTAAGTAGGCAGCATAGATAAAATGTTTGTATAACACTTTGTTTTCACAAAAAATATCAATGTTAGCAAAATAAAATATAAAGAAAATTATTTTGTATTGCGTTGGTGTCAGTCTGACGTCATTCATAATAATATGGTTAATACACCCTTTTATACTCTCCAAATATAACATACATCGGCACTTGTTTGTAATTTTTGGTTTTAACTTTGATTTTTATATTTTATGTAAAATTTTTTTTTAATTTCAAAACTATACACGTTTTGTTTTTTTTTTTTCGAAACCGTCCACGTAGAAATTTTTCAGTTTTTGTTTTCAATAAGATATTGAGAGTCTTTGTCAAAAAAAAATATTCCATGTATCGCCATATTTTTATTGATTTTTATTTTGTTTTCTAAAATTTAAGCTTTAAAATAATTGTTGTTTTTTGTGTTTCTTAAATAAATTTCCCATAAATTTTCTCCATAGTATGTACTTTTGTGTATATAATGAAATGAGTTAATGACTTTTATAGAACCAAATAAATTTACTTACTTCCATTAATATATTATTATAACAATAGATATGTACGTGTATTCTGATGAATGTAAATGTATATTTGAAACCGTAAGAAAAGAGCTAGGAATTTAATAGATTTTACGCTGTTGCAAAATGCATGCGTACAAACAATCACGTGGGAATTTAAAATTGAGAAGTAATATTATGCATATTTATATATGTAAGTATGGAATAGTACACCTAATACAATTATGAAAATTGTTTACGTTTAAATAATAAATGGAACACACATATATGCAAGTATATAAAAATATGTATGTATTTTGGTATATAAATCCTGAGTAATTTAAAGTAATTTCAAACTTATTCTAATAAATAATATTGTTATACAAATTTAATAATTAATTTTTTAACTATAAATAAATGTAATGTATGTACATATGAATTTAAAATATTCTATACATACATGTATAAATTTCGTATTGTCGTGTAACAAGCAGCACAATTTTACCCTATTACTCAAAAATATTGAGAAAAAAATTTTTAATTTACAAAATTTTTTTTTTATTTTTTCGGTAATTCTTTATTATGTAAATAAAAATACATAGAAAGATTCCTGTATTTGTAAATATACACAAACATATATCATGAATGATAAAATTTACCCTAATATTGGAGTACAATACACACACATACATTAAAAAAAAGGAATGTGACTTTCTTATGAACTTTAATAAATTGCAAACGTGTCATTTTTCCCCATACTTTTCAAAATATTTGGAATGAAATGAGAATCAAACAAAAAAAAAAAAGGGAATTTTCTCGAAGGGATATTTAAATTTTCTCCTTTTGGAAAATTTTTTATTAATAGCCTATTCGGACTATAGGAGAATAACATGTTCGTATGGGTATGAATTAAATTTATTTTAAATATTTTGAAAATTTAGAAAAATCAAATATATCGGGATTTTTTATATTTTTTCAAAAGCTTTATATCGGCAAAATTTTAATAATTGTAAAGCTTTTTATGAATTTATGCAAAGCTTTTTATGCATGACAAACAAAGTTGTGTAAATGCTTTAAGAATTTCATGGAGATTAAAATAATATTAAAAAACCTTGTAATTCAATTCTGTTTCTTAAAATATTATCCGTTAGAAGGCGTGCATTACGTTAGGAGTATTTTGTT